CTGACATTTTCTCGTAAATCCAGTCACTATCCAGACAATCACGTAATTAACTCAAGTGTAAAACATTAACGAGTGAGTGCCTTAATTAACCAATTAGAACTTACGGAGAGTGATTGTTTGCCATTCAACAAGTTCCAGGGTATTTGATCTCGTCAACCTCCAATGAAAGTCACTATTACAACAATCTAGACTCGATGGCAGACAAATAATTATCATTTGTCTCACAAGGATTGGAAAAAATCATTCCGATTGTTTATTTACCCCTCAAGAGTCTCCTGTTTTTCCTTGTTTACTTTTGAAAATCATGTCTCAACTCCAAAATCACTCATGGCCTCCACAATAATAATCCCTCAATTAAAAAAAACCCGGAGGTTGTCAAATTGATATGTTTAGTGGCTAATTTAATTTTTCAGAACAGATTTTACAAAAATGATTTGTCTGTTGTCAGACGTGTTCCGCTTCACTGAGAATTGAGGTTAAATCCGCTAGATTCACGTCTGTGTGAGGGGAGAACGTGAAGAATTGTCGACGTGATTCCCAGGAAATCAGATGATGCAGTATTTATGAATGTGACGCAACGAGAAAACGCGTAGTTGACGTTTTGACGGATCAGTTGGAGAATTTTTCTGAGCAAATCATGCCGTTTCTGAGGTCCATCCTCGAGAGTTTGTTTGGGGGAGGTGATAATCATCGTACAAACCCAGGGTAAATGATTTTTAATCCATTATTCCGAGTTTCTGGTGGCGGTTGAGGGTCAGGGCATTTTTAGGTTCTAGAAGTTTCTAGAATTTACGATGAAAGGGTTTTTTGGTGCTCTAGGGACGATGATCGACGAATGTTTGGAGACAGATTCAGAAATCCAATCTGGCAGAATGATGAGGAGGATGATGATGAATATGGGGAGGACTACAGGTGAAGATGATTATTAGGAATTTTTTTATTCTTTGAGGAATGAAGCTTTGGCTGTTTTCTTGGGACACGGGATATAATTTACACTTTGCATTTTATTTTAATGTTGATGAAGCATGAATTATTGATGAGTTGTAAGACATTTTTAACCACACGGAAAGAACAATTGCTTAATTGATTCATTTTATAGGAGAGATTGGGGTAAAACGGACACTTGACTTTTTTTTAAACGTCAATGAGGGGTTGAAATGTTGATAAAATTCCCTTTGTGATGAGCCTAAATTGAGCTCAATTGATCAATTTGTTTCTGAGTTATGAATAATTTTAGAAACGTCTAGTGTCCGTTTTACCCCACCCTCCCCATTCAAGTTATGAACATTTGAAAATAGTCTATTGTCGTTTTACATTGCACTCCACTGCACATGTGATTATCGTGATGATGAGTGATTTCAGGGGCAAATGTTAAGAGATTTTCTAATTAAAAGAAAATCATTATTGAGATTTTCTATTATTTCTTCAGAAACAAATTAAAATGGGCTAATTAAAAAGTTTTTGTAGATAATTAAATTGCCTCCCAAAAATGTCTTGAAATTTTTACCTGAAGCCTCTTAAAATTGAGATATCCTATTATTGCTTCTTTCATATTGCTTTAAAAAACAATGATTTATGTAAAATGTAAATTTACTCCTTCATGATCTCTGGCTAACTCTCACTATTCATCTTTCATCAAGTCTCATCACCTCGTTTCAATTCTTCATATGAAAATAATTGCAAATTGTCAATTAATCATGTCTTTGATTATGAATTTTCCATCGTAGAAATCCTGGACATTCTCGGCCGGCGTTTCACTTCGAGATCTTCACGAACCCCTTCGAGATGACTAGGTACTTCGAGTCGCAGATGGATGACATGATGAAGGACTTCTTCAGCTTTGGCTTCAGTGAGGACAAGCAAATACCGTTCGAAGGATTTTCTCAAATTATGCCACCGAATCATGGGAAGGGAGATTTAAGGGAGGAGGTTTTGAAGCCTGGGTATGCTCTACCACCCCCTCGGCATGGGGTGGATAGTCCCAAGTGCGATGAGGATCTTGATGGAAAGTAAGCGGCCAAATTGTGTAATTGTTGAAGTCCAAGGGAGAAATGTTTATGAATTTTGCATTTGTTTCGTTAATTAGTCATTAAAACAGACTAGATTCTTTCAGAATATTTCCAAAAGTCACCCAATGGGGAAATACATCCAGGATTTTTAGAATAAACAATCATCATTTGAAACTGATAATTAGGCATTTAACTTGTTAATGAGTAGATCTAGAAGAAAATATTGAAGAAATTTTTTTAGCTGTGAGAATTGCCTACAAAACGTCTCACACGTCATGATTTCTCATAATAATCCATTGTCAATTGATTTGTTTCTTGCTTAATCCAGAGTTGATCCCAAAGATTTCTCCAGAGTTTGGAACAATGGAGTCACTGAACCTGAAGAGCAATTGAGTACTGCCAGCACCTCCCTTCAACCCTTCAAATTCAGGTCTTTCGGACAATCAATTGTTTCCCAGACAATCAGACGTCCCGATGGATCAATCGAAGAGAAGAGAACAACGAAGGACAACGAAGGAAACACCGAGACGATAATCAAACACAGGATGGGGGATAAAACCCACACGGTCGTGATAAAAAAGGATAAGAATGGAGTTGAGACACAAACTGAGAATTTCGAGAATATGGATCCAAGTGAGTCCCTCTAATTGCGAATCAATCTTGAGAGAATGGTTTAAAATTATTCACAAAGAAATATGAATATTAATCTGTTTATCATTGATTAACACCAAATTTTTACTTTCAGATGAACTGAACAATTTCGATAAAAATTGGAAACCAATCGAGGATCCATTAATTGAGTCTGGGGCCTTAACTAAATTCCCATGGAACAAATTCTTCGATTTCAGTCCAAAATTATAGACATCGAAATATCAAGGAATCTAATAAATAGATGAAATAGCAAAATAGTAAATTATGTGATTTAAATTAGACTAACAGAGCCTGAAGGATTGTTTTTTAGTTTATGAATTGAACTGTTCAAAAATTGAGAATAAAAATTCATAACTAAAAGTTGAACAATTTCCTGGTGTTTTCAACCATAAATTAATTTTATTAATTGTATATACTCTGTACAAACATATATACAGTTCTAATAAACCTTAGATACTATCGTAAAACCAGGCCCAGATATATTTAATGGATTGTTGCAAGACAGTCTACCAAAAATTTGTGGAAACAAGAAAGAAAATGTGTCACAAAAATTCAATAGTGAAGTGGTAATATTCAGTTTTTCATGCCTTATTAAATATTAAATTATCTCGTTAACGACTGATCCTTGGCGAAAAAGTCAGAAGACATTTTTTGTTGGAAATTTTCTCCTCCACAAAGAAGATCAATTGACATTTCCTCGTAAAATGACTAGTTTCCAAGATAATCACCCATTTCAACAACACTTTCATATCCGATTAACTTCGTTGTTCCACTTCACCATAAAATTCAAATTAATTGATCTTCAAAAACGTGTTAATCGTCTATCGTTGGCACTGCACTATTTACGAAAATTGTCGTCACCAGAGCATCAGTCACGTCTGCAGATTCTCATCCTCTCAATCCCCTTTGAAACTGGTACAATGTATTGAGCAGTCTTTGGATGAAAAGAAACCATTGACATTCAAATTCAATTCAACAAAGTGGAACGTTCTGCTGTCCTTCGGTTATCAAGTAAGTCAATCGAAAAATAAATCTAGAGCTTCCAACGTTCACCTTCAATTTTTATGATTTTTTTTCTCACAGAATAGATTCGATCGAACTATTTGAACATGAAGATTTTTTTTCGTGTAGATTGAATTGGTGAAGAAATGATGGGACACGTTCGGTAAATATGAACAAATGTCAATACAATTATCGAAGAAATTTTCACCTCGAGAAGAAAACTCTCTCAATTTTTTTAAACACACACTCATTGGCAAAATAACTGTATAATTAACAAAATTTCTTCTTCAATCAATAAAAATGAAGTTCTATCAATTACGCAATTATCTCTCTAATTACGACATTAGGAAGAATATGTTGAGAGAGATTTTACATTTCTACTGGAGAGTAAATTCTCTATAAATATCTCTTGACATTTTCTTCTAATTCATTCAGCCTGAACTGTCCCACTACTTTATCACTGGAATCTCCTGTGTGCGAGTTTAAATTTTCAATCAATCAGATAATTCAATCACTCACACATACACATCAGATGTATCCTTGATTTTCAAGAATTCATACGGAGATTTATACAATTGCATACGTCATTACCTATCGCCAACATTACTATATACAAATAACTCGATCGTAGACGAGTGATGACTTCATGCTTTTCGCTGAGGGTAATTAATTGAATAATTTGTCAATTATTTAATGGTATTAATGGTTCTCCCACGAGACTGATTAACTCAATCCCAGGATGGAAACGTCATCAAGTCGAACAGAATAATTATCGAATTATGAAAATTCCACGAATTCGAGGCTTTCTGCACTATATATATTTTATTGACAGACGACTATGAGTTTTAAAATTGCGAGCAATTGGAATGAGATTTCTCATGCATTGAAGACCAATTATATATGTCTGAAAACCAATAATTATTGCAAAAAAATTAATTGTTTATTGTTCGGTCGCTCCGCACACGCCTAAAATATTAAAAATAGTGCAGGGCCTTCAATTTTTGAACTACAGAAGTTCTTTTTCTTCAAAATTTTTGGAAAAATGTATACAATAACGATTTGGAATTAGTTTTTTTGAATTCCACTACTGCACAGCTAGTTTCGTTTTGTTTAATATAAAAATTTGTGCCATTCTTAATATATTTAAAATATATTCTCAATTCTTTCAGATACAATTTTGGGCTATTTTATATGAATGGCGCAATTTGTTATTAAAAAAAGAAATTAGCCAATTTGTCATTGTTATTGCACCCATATTTTCAAAAATTGTAGAAAAAAACCCTCTGTAGCTCGAAAATTGGAGGCCCTGGACTGTTTTTAACATTTTAAGTGGCTGCGGAGCAAACGAAGAATAATCAATTGATTTTTTTCCACTAATTATTCATTTTTAGACATATAATCGATCTTTAATGTATGAGTAATCTCATTCTAGTAGCCCGGGACTGTTAAAACCCATAATAGTCTTCCCTTAACATCTTACTTTCAGTAATGTCGTCAATCGAACCCCTCAAGCAGCACAAAACCACCCCAAATCTACGTCGCTATAAATACCACAGTGTTTTCTTTATAATTACTTCCATTATATACAATAATTCTATCGAATTCATTATGGTTTTCATAATTTTCACATTTCCTCACTCTCTCGTTTTTTTTTTCAAACTCGAGACAAAATAATCCCTAAATGTGAGTTGAACCGTGTAAAAAGTATACAAGAAAAATTTCTACTATAAATAACAATGATTGAAGTGATTAATTAATAAAACGAAATGTCAATTTTTCCTTTAGATCAGTTTTTTTCGAAAAATATCTCGTAGAGAGACTTATCAAAACAATAATTCAGGCCAAAAATTCATGAAGAAAAATTGAAAAATCAAGTCATCTCGTTTTATTGATTTTCCACTGATTAAATTTCTCTTGAAGGTTCTCAAATTCCGTAGATTGCAAGAACCTCCTTAGATTTTTTTACTACAGATATCACTTACCAATCTGTCTACTCGACAACTCTACAAACAATTATCTGGTAAAATTTCTATTTCTCGTGATAATGGGTTATCACTTGTGTTTTTCCTCAAAAGAAATTCAGAATAAAGAAGAGGTACAGAAATAAGACGTCAGAGAATTGGAAAATAATGGAGAAATAATTGATTAGTGTGAGGGGTGGAGAAGGTGGGGATACTATTCCTGGCCGAAGCCCTCGGTCTCCTCGATCGCGTAGTTCAATTTTTCCACCATTTGGTCGTAACTTTTGTAGGGGGGAAGGTCTAGTCTGTTGAAACATGTATGGGATCGGGGTAACCAGGTGTCTTTGCCCACTTTCTCGATGCAGAATCGCTGTGGTCCATTGCTCCCTACATGAAAAAAATTAATCAATGAATTAATTGATTGAATTGGTGGAGCAAAAGATAAGCAGAAAACGAATTTTCCGATAATTTTGGAGCTATTTTCAAAGGGACACTTTTTTAAATTAAATTTGGGAAAAATTGTCAAGAGATATTCCACAGATATTAACAAAATAATGTCTTCAAAATTTTACAATTTATGTCCTTCAATTTTCGAAAAGGTTCAAACCAAAATTTTGAAAATATCTTTAGAAAAAATTTAGTGAAAAGTATCAAGAGACATTTTCGTGGGATATGGAATTCTTTACACAAATGTCTTTTGAATATTTTCAATTCAGAAAGCAATAGTTTGGAGATATCTTTAGAAGGAAGAGAAATTTTTCTGGAAAATTTTTCCCCGATATTTTAATTTTTTCAGATATTCCCAACATTATCTCTGTATTGATTTTTACATTTTTAGCAAAAAACTTGGAATCAGTATTTTGTAAACATCTTTTGATTATTATGATCATTAGTTTTCAAGATATTCGCAAAACAATGTCTTTAAAAAATTTTAATTTCTTCCGAATTAATGACTCTTTATTGTTAAAAATATTGAACGCACCCATCAATTCAGCGAATCCCCCAACAGGCACTCTGCACGTTCCAGTCACGAATTGCAGCAATCGTGCTCTCTTCTCATTGTCCGTTGTCCTCACAAACTGTAAGTGAATTCCATGTGTACGTGAGGTAACTCGACAATTTCATAAATCAAGTGAAATGTCCTTACCTGCCAGAACCATAAAACTTGTTTACTGTTTCTCGTGTAATGTCTGTAAATTGAATTTCTCTGCCAATCGTCAACGTCTATCTCCTGCATGCCACAGAGCATGAGCTCTAGCTCACGTTCATCGAAGTACTTTAGCCATTCCAGGGGTACCACTGAGTTGAAACCCTCGAGGAAGGCTTTAGTCTGGTCTTCGATGCCTCTTGTCATTCTCCATTCAGTCATTAATCTAGATGACAGAGAATGGAATTCGATTTTTGAGAAATTTCAAGTTCAAAGAATTTTTTTTATATTGTTTACGGGTTTATAACAAAATAGTCTATTGTGTTACTGAACCATTTCGAAAAGAGCACTTTTCAGGCAAGAACAAGAAAAAAAATATCAGAATGATTCATAGCAATAAATTTTTCTAGAATTTTTAATGAGTTCCAGGCCATTCACAAAATTATAGTACTAGAAGGAAATGTAAATTATTTTTTCGTGACTGGAAAAAAGAACAATATTGTTTTTTTTTTAATTCTGCAATGGTTTATAGGGGATAAACCATAAATAATCGATTTCTCTAAACCATTTCAAGTGTTTGCAATTATCTTTGAAAAAATATTACGACACAAAAAACTGAAAATCTGCGTTTATTGCGAAAGTTGTTGACAAAAAAATGTTAAAATCATTTATACCATTGAATTAATTTCTTCGAATAATTTATAAAATTTCTAGGAACTACTGAGTAATGAAGAAAAAATGAGAATTTTTTGTTATGCTGAAAAATAGAAACTGGGATATAAAAAATTCTGTGATTTCTACTATGCAATTCACAACTCTGATTTTTTCAGAATTTTCAATGCATTCTAAATAAGTAAAGAAAATTGCTGAGCAATAAATACCTGATATATTCCTCTTTATTTTCCTCAACAACTCTAATCTTATCGCCCCCTTCCTTCAACTCATGATGAATGACTTGTCCCAATATCTCAAAGTCCACACTGTAGTACAACTCAAGTCCACACTCATCAATGTTATTCTCCTTAATCCAAACAAGTGACTTATAAAATTCAGGATCTATGGACTCAATATCCTTCATGACTAATTTTTTATTCAGCATGCGTTTGTAGAAGGGCATGGTGAATCCACTGTAGATAAACCTGCCATGATAGAGAGCCTGAAAATACGATGAGAGAACATGAATAAGTAACTTCCTCAACGTTATCGTCAAGTAAAGAATTCCGAATAGGGTAAACTGCCCAGTAGATGGAAGTTTGTTTTTTAGCAATGGAAAAAAAAATTGATCGAAAAAAAATCGTCACTCAGGGGTTAAGAATCACAACAGTTAGTGAAAATTCAAAGCAATAATTCACATTTCAGTATTTTTTTGCGTAATTTCCTATCCAAAAGTAGCTTGTCCATCTATAGGGCAGTGTCCATCTACTGGGTAGCTTACCCTACCCTGAAAGAGAAAAAGAATAAATTCGCCAACAAGTCTTGTTTGAACCAAAAAAATTATTAGTTGCAAATTCCGGATAAAATAAAATCTAGAGCCAAACTTCCATTTACTCCATTTACCTCTTGAGCCAAATATTTCGTTGTTGTTGAAAGCAGAGCAACTATTCATGTTTAAGATGTTCAAATTGAAACCACACAAGCTTTTTGGTAATTTTTAATGAGCGATTTGTATTGTCAACGCAAGACTTGTTTGAAAACTTGTCCGTTTTTCTTTCAGTATAGACACAAACTTACCATTGCGATAAATCTCCCGATGAATTTGAAATACTGCAAGTGATCAGGGTTGACATACGACGCTGGGTTTATTTGTAACGAGTAATTACTCTTATTTGCGTACTCAAAGAGACAGTACATTGGATTCAGAACTTCGTGGCTTAGTAAGAAAAACCATTCTCTGAAAATGAATGAAAAAAAAAGATTATTGACGTAGAAAAATCGATGTTTTTACTTCCGAATGGAAGTGATGTCAATCCGATATCGTCTGAAGAGTACGAAAATGAAGTTCAAAAATCAAATTCATCCTCAAAAGGCCCATAAAATCTACGATTAATAAAGTAAAAATAAAATGAAATCAATGCATTATTGACAATGATTTAAAAACTCTATTCTATTGGTTATTGACAGTTTCTAAATTTACTCTAAATTAACTCAATTGACAATTTCAGATGACGAAAGGTGAGAAAAAACCATCGAGATAACGTTCGAAGGATAGTACACCCAAGCCTTAAATTAAAAAATTGGAAAAAGACTATCCCCTCACCTGGACACTCCGCCATAATCGAGTCCCTCCTCCCCCTTGAAGATGATGTAAAGCCTCCTCCTCAAGGCAAACGCCTCGGCATTCATGATCTGATGATACGAGTCCTCGAACAGTGTCTGCCTGCTAACACTGATCTTAATATGATTGGGCAGGGCATTTGTCTGGCAGAGGAACCTAAACTGTGACAATTTCCACCGGAAGCTCCTCTCGTAAGCCCTGGGCACCCTGTAGACCCCCTTAGGACCCTTTGGAGCCCCTGGTCTGGGGTCCTGGAATGTTGTTGTCCTGGTGTTGTGATCCACAAAGTACCTCACACCGTCCTCGGTGAGTCTGATCTCCCAGCCGTCTGGCAACGGAGGCTCATCGATTCCCGTCTCCTGGCCCTGAGTCCTCGGGTCCTCCCACTGAGTCGTTCTGTTCTTGTGATTGACGTAGTAAACCCTTCCCTCGGGCTGTTTTCGCCTCTCCCAGCCAGCAGGAAGTGGCCCCAAGGCGTCATCATCATCGACAGCTGCTGATGTCGAAGGTCCTGGCACCACGGGCTGTCCCCCATGCGCCTGAGGGTACAAAAACCTCTGGTTCCCCTGCTGCACAACGAACTGACGCTCCCCCTGCCACTGCTGATAGTGCTGGAGTCTCTCGGTATTCGGTCTCTGCCAGGTTGTGCTTCTGGTATTGTGGTCGACGTAGTAGATCCTTCCTCGGGGGTCTCTACGCACCTCCCAACCTGGGGGGAGGGGCTGGGGCCTCTCCCAGGAGGTGGACCTCGTGTTGTGGTCTACGTAGTATCTCCTACCGTAAACGTCGTATCTGGAAGGTACAAATTATAATTTTTAGTCGCTAAGGTGTCCACCCGCAGAGTCAGAGGCTGAGGTTGCCAGGATTCACCCTGGCACCGGCGAATTATTTCTGGATTATTTGATTTAGCCAAATAATATACGCATACTATCAGAAATGTTTGAAAGAATTACGTGATAATAATCCGATAAAATTTTTAGTCAGCAATTCTCAATTTCTGTTGAGAAAACAGAAACAATATATCTGATAATGTATCTATTCCAACATAAATAATTCCGTATAAAATTGAGGGTCATAATTCCGATAAAATTCATACATTTTCCAAAAAAAAGAGATACCTGATCAGGTACCATTTTTGATAATTACTAGTGTCTTAAAAACCAAATTAAAATAGAATTGAAATAGAAACTCCTCAATGAATAAAAAAATCTCGTACCTCATATCCCAGCCAGGTGGCAGAGGTTCCTCCTGTCCATTCTCCTGCTCCCTCATCATCTCCTCGGGCACCCTGGGCACCCTTCCCTCCTGCCGTCCCTCACTCCCCCTCCCAGGGGCATTATTTTCCCCACCATTCCATCCAGGACCCTCCAGAGATACCCTGGGCACCACAGAGTTCTCTCCCACCCTCGCCCCCTCATGAAGCCTGGGGACACTGGTGCTCTCGGACGTCGACCTCGTCATGTTCAACTCCCTCATGAGGTTCTCAGCGAGCCTGGGGGTGGCAGGACTCTCTATCGCAGGCTCGTGGCTGATCCCAGAACTTCCATTTGTTATAATCATCCTCGAGGAGTCGTTTGAGACATTTGAGGCATTCGAGATTGAAATAGTCGACTGGGAGTTGGTGGGGTTGAAGTTGGGGTCGTAGAGCGTCGTCGAGGAGCTTCTCTGGACCCCTGGGGGGTTTATCGAGCCCTCGGGGGCCTGACCCCTCATCAGGGCACGAATTCCTCCGTTCAAAATGCTCCTGTTGGTGGAGTCGTTCGTGCAGGAGTTGTTCGTCGGCATCTGCGAGGAGGTCGTGCATTGCGGGTGGGGTTGCTCACACTGGGGTGGAGTAATCGTCGACATGTCGATTTTCAAGCCATCGAAGAGGGTCACCAGCTCCCCCACTTTCGTCACCTGTGAGTCGTGCTTGCTCTCGTTTATCAGATCCAGGGTCAGCTCCAGGCTCTCCAATTTACCGTTGTAATGGGACAGGATCTGAAAGAGACTTATTCGCTTCTCTCCGATGGTTGTGTCCTTGCGGAAAGTACTGTGGTCCAGGAGGCGAAAGTGCAGGTGGGAGTAGGGGGTCACCAGGATCGTAAATTCTTCGTTCCATTTTGGCTGGTAAGTTGCTTTCGATACCTCCGTTTTGCGGGGACTCTTGTCGTCCACTGAGAATTCTACGTAGGGGTTGGGCTTCAGGAAGGAGGAACTCCGGAGAATTGCAGCTTCAACTGTGGAAGGGAGTCGAGGGTTAGACGTTTAGTTTTTACTACCGAATGTTTGGAGCATTGTAATCGTGCTGTTTTCACATTCTCTAATTTTTATTGGAAATTATGTAGAATGGTCTGAAACGTAAAAATACGAAGTTTGGCGACCATGTCTGTCGGTGTCAATGTCCATCGCCACCTTTCCGGTGGTCAATTTTTGGAAAATTAATAATTGCATAATTAACTAAAATTTCACAATTTTGTTCCACTTTACTTTATTGATTATTAAACTCTGACGGTTATTCAATTTCCGTGAGCATGTGAATTTAGGAAAAAACAGCGAGAAAGTTTGTAAGAAAGTTTCAACAAAAAATTTTTGTTTCTACAGAAAGTTTTTTACTTTATTAAAAAACAGCCTCTTGATATTACAGAGCCTTCGTTATGAATCTTATTAATCATTGACTTATCTCTACGATGAGTGGTTTGATGTTCTGCTCTTTAAAAAGGGGTTCGTGACACTGCCTCACAGAATTACTCGTTACTGAGATAAATCCATAATTAACAACGATAACAAGTTCCATTCAGTTGATTATTGAATTTTACTAATTGTTGGATTACTTCCAGACTAAACGAATTTAAAAACAAATATTGCAGAACGTCTTTTGAAGGAAATTTTAAGTTTTACAAAAAAGATTTTGCGGCACTGTGAGTAATTTTATGATGATATGTAAGAGACATTTTATGTAGAAAGTTTTCTCCTCATAAAAGCCCCCTTTAGTTGATTATTACACCTCACCAATTGTTAAGTTATCCCCAAAATTCATCGAATTAGAAACAAATTTTAAAAAACATCTTTCGAACGAAATTTTCTCTTCTATGAATTAAAATAAATTAAATCTTCTAGCATTGACAGTAATTTTATGACAATATCGTAGAAAATTGTTCTCTAGTAAGTTTTCAGTTCCATAAAAGCCCCATTGAATTGATTAATGAACTCCACCAGTTATTGAATTAACCTCAACCCGAATCGATTTGAAACACAAAATAAAATCATCTTTCGAAGGAAATTTCCAGCTCTACAAAGAAGAACTTGTGACCTTCTTTCGCAACAACTCACTGATAGACAGGTATTGCCTACAATCCATTACGTTTTACCACTCCAATATAAAAATTAATTTGGCCGTGACTATTCGCACCATTGCGTGAATCACTCCCGTACACTCCATACACTCCACGCATGCGTGAAGTTTGTGTGTTTCACGCAGCCGAATTTTCATACTGCTGTGTATTTCACGCAGTTGAAGTTTCATACTACTGTGTGTTT